CAGGCTGTTCTCGAATTCCTGGCCTCAAGTTATCCTCCCGCCTTGGGCCTCCCAAACTGCTGGGATTACAGGTGTGAGCCACTGCACCCAGCCTTTCTGTATACTTTAAATAATCTCTAGATTATTTATAGTATAATACAATGTAAATGCTTTGTAAATAGCTGTTATACTTTATTTTTTAAATTTAAAAAAATTGTTGTATTGTTACTGTTTTGTTTGTTTTCCGGATATTTTTGAGCTGAGGTTTGTTGACTCCACAAATACGGAGGACTGACTGTATATGATTTCTTTTAAATGTATTGAGACTTCTTTTATGACACATCTTATGGTCTGTTTTGGTGAATATTCTACCTGCACCTGAAAATAGAGTATATTTTACAGTTGTTGGATGTACTGTTATATAAATGTCAACTAGATAAATATTTTGATAGTATTGTTCAGATTTTGTATCTTTACTGTTTTTCTATTTTTAGACATAGGGTCTCAGGCCAGGTATGGTGCTTATAATCTCATACTTGTAATCTCAGCACTTTGGGAGGCCAAGACAGGAGGATCGCTTGAGACCAGGCTGGGTAACTGGGAGACCCCGTCCCTGCAAAAAAATTTTAGAAGTTAGGCACAGTGGCACTTACCTGTAGCCCCAGCTACTCGGGAGGCTGAGGCAGGAGGATCTCTTTAGCACAGGAAGTCAAGGCTGTAATGAGCTGTGATTATGTCACTGCACTCCAGCTTGGGTGACAGAGTGAGACCCTGTCTCAAAAAAAAAAAAAAAAAGGGTCTCGTTCTCTTGTTATTGCTCAGGCTGGAGTGCGGTGGCGTATTCACAGCTCACAGCACCTTTGAATTCTTGGGCTCAAGTGATCCTCCCGCCTCAGCCTCCCAAGGAGCTAGGTCTACAGGGGTGCGCCGCCATGCCCAGCTAATTCCTTCAGTAGAGACGGAGGTCTTGCTATTTTGCCGAGGCTGGTCTCGAACTCATGGGTTCAAGAGTTCTTGCCGCCTTGGCCTCCCACAGTTCTGGGATTACAGCCAGGAACCGCTGTGCCCAGCTGGCTCTTTTTAATCTACTTTGTCAGCCTCTGCCTTTTAATTAGAATTTGTACACGTGAACATTTAATGAAATGATGTATATGGTTAGATTTAGATGCACTTTTATTATTGCTTTCCTGTTTGTCCCCTCTGTTTTTTGTTGTTTGTTCTTTTTCTTCTGAATTGTTGGGCTCGTTCTGAGCATTTCATTTATCTGTTGGCTTCTCGGATCTGTGTCTTTGTGTTGTGTCTTAGTCATTGCCCTGGAGGTTCCAGTCTGCACACCTCTTAGCCTTCACTGTCTGCTCAGAGTTCATACTGTGCCCCTCACAGAAACGTGGGGACCTTGCAGTCATCTGGGTCCCTTGAATCCCCTCCTGACCTTTCTGTTGCCTTTCATGTGTATTACCTCTATGCGCGTTGGAAGCACACTACACAATATTTTTTTTGTCTAAAGTCTTACATATTTAAGAACTCCTAAGAGGAAAATAATAGTATTTTATATTTACCATTTCTGTTGCTCTCCCTTCCCTCCTCAAGATCCAGGCTTCCCTCTGGTATCATTTTCCTTCAACCCAAGGAACTTTCTTGAGCGTTCCTCATACAGCAGGTATATTAGTGACAAACTGTGTTCGTTTTCTGCCATCTGAGAATCTTTATTGCACCTTCCTTTCTGAAAGAGATTTTCCCTGTATATAGAATGCCTCGGTGCCTCTTTTCTTCAAACACTTAAAAATATCCTACATAGGCCGGGCGCAGTGGCTCAAGCCTGTAATCCCAGCACTTTGGGAGGCCGAGACGGGTGGATCACAAGGTCAGGAGATCGAGACCATCCTGGCTAACACGGTGAA